AATAATAATAATAATAATAATAATAGTAATAAAATTCACAATTTAGGAACTTACGTCACACTTTGCCCGCTCGGCCATTGGCTGATAGTCGCCGTCTTGTTGGACCGCCGGGTAGTTGTTAGGGTTACTGATCAGTCTCACAGTCCGTCTGTGAAACCAATCAATGTAACCCTCCTCAGGCTCTAGGAACTGATCCACCGGCTGATGTGGGAGGACATTTTGATCTCTATGTTCGGCCCAAGTCTTCCCAAGCTCCGAATGAAAGGCGGCCCAATCAGTATATGCCCTCCCAGTCATTCCCTGGCCTCGGTGGAGTGTCTCCCATTGGGCCACATCCCTAGTGATCGGAGCTGGGGGGATGGACTGGCGACATCCAAACTGACGGAGGACCTATCCGGCTCGTGGGGCTCACAAATGTTCCAACAGAAGATTGGCCCCTTGTACATCCAAACATGTTGATCTTCTGTACACTGGTCCGGGAGAGTAGACGAATCCTCAAGGAACTGGACATAAGGCATCCAATCGAACTGAAAAAAAAAAGATAAAAAATTGAATTAAGAATTACTAAGAATTAAGTTAGCAATTATTTCAAATCAATAAAAAACAAAAGATAAGTCAATATATAAAACTTAAGAATCTTACATCTGTGTCTCTCAGCCATGTCAGCTGATCCCGGATAGCGGCCGTTCCCTTGGCAATTTGCTCAAGTTCTTTCTTCCCACCCACCTTAAAGATCACAGAAAAATAACTTTGTAATTATAATATTAATAATGAAAAAACTTAATATTAAATATAAATAAATGTTCATACCTTGCTCCTAAGGGATAACCAGGTACAGAAGCAAAGCGCATGGACTTCATTGTTGGACGAAGGCGAGGGATGCGTTCCCATGCCCAAACCTACACATATCGACCGACATATGCATTTTTTGTATTAGATATTAGTCAGAATAAAAAAAAATGAAGTTTTAAATAACATCTAAAATAAATGTACCTGGAGCAATTGGACACAACCCTTAATCCAGCCTTGCCCGGCCTCGAAGGCTGTGCACAACGCTCTATACAATCCGGCGAGGACCGCTGAAGCCCAACTATACCCCTTCATTTTATCAAAGTCGCGCAGCATATCCAGCCAGTACAGGTTGACTCCGTTCGCCCGCTGGTCGGGGAAGAAGAACGAGCCTATGCACCAGAGTATAAGGGCCCTCGCCCTTTGTTGGTAGACCTCGACGTCTTCTCCATCTGAGAGCTCTCGTTTGCATTCAGCCTCTAATGGGCCGACATTCAAGAATTGGCCTTTAATGGGCCAAGTGTTGGGCTCGTACGCCGGGTCATCTCTATCCTGTAATTGGTTTTTAAAAATAAAAAATAAAAAAACGAGCAAATTAGAGATAAAAAAATAATAATTAAATATAATTAAATAGTTTCACATTTCTTAAAGATAGAAAATAATACATTTATGTATAAATTAAAATAGTTGAAATTTTAATAAACGAGAAATGGGTGTCACAATGCTATAAAATTTGTATCTTTTTATTTGAATTCGAATAAAATATATACCTGGACATTGGGGCGAAACCCTAGGAAGTCAACACACATGTCTCGCCATTGCTGGGGAGTCGTATCCGCAGTCCTTCCCCAACAAGCTTCTCCATTGGCCGGGAGGCCAAATAGGACTTGAACGTCCTGCAGCGTTATTGTGGCCTCCCCACAATCGAAGTGGAAGGTATGCGTCTCGGGACGCCACCTTTCCACGAGGCAGGTGATGAGGCTATTGTCCGTTGTTACCCGGCCCATCCGAAACATCGGGCCAAAACCTGCCATGTCGATTTGCTCCCAAACTTTATCATGTTGCTTCTCCAATGTGGGCCATAACTCACTGTCGTTCCGACGGTTTGTAATAATGCCGTTACGATAGCCTTGTACATCGTCATATACCGCCTTGGCCCGGTGGCGGGTATGAAGATACAGAAGCGACCCGTCAATCGGACCGGGTTGTATATTGTACCGGGGAGGCTGTGAGGACGACGAAGATGCCATTTTCTACATTTTAAAAAAAAATCAATAGATATAAGAAAGCGTATAAGTTCAAATAAGCGTATAAAAAAGTTCAAATAGGCAAGGAATACACAACATATGGACTAATGGTCACCACTATAGAAGTCATATAACTTCAAATGAAAAACCAATTAATTTCACATCATGCATTTTCACTCGATTATCCACTATAGACACATAAAAAAAATTATAATTCAAATCGAACATTCCTAATTCAAATCGAACAAGCCGTAATTAAAATTGAACAATCCTAATTCAAAATTGAACAATCCTAATTCAAAAAACCCTAATTCGCAGCCCTAATTCGAAATATCCCAAATCGAAGCCCTAATCCGAACATTCCTAATTCAAATCGAACAATCCTAATTCAAAGCCCTAATTTGAAGCCCTAAATCGAACAAGCCGTAATTAAAATTGAACAATCCTAATTCAAACAACCCTAATTCGAAACCCTAATTCGAAATATCCCAAATCGAAGCCCTAATTCCAGCAATCTCAATTCAAATCCCAATCTCCAATTCAACATACAAACATAACCGAAGAAATTTCGAACAATTCGACAAAATACAAATCCAATTTCGAAAAAATTGAAAAAATTCGAAGAAATTGAAAATTTTGAAAAAATTGAAAAAATGAAAGAATAATAGAAGAAATTTACCTAATAAACGGGAAGAATGAATCAACGGCGGTGTGGCGGTAGTTTTTTTGTGCTCGTTAGCTTTCTCGATCTCTCGCTCTCTCTCGCTCGCTCCCTTTCTCTCTTTTTTCTTTTTTTTTTTTTTCCCTCTGTTCGCAGGTCTCTGTTGTTCGCGCAAGGAGAAGAAGAAAGATTTTTTTTATATATATATTTAACAAAAAACGTATTCCGGGAATACGGTTTTATGTGATTTATTGGTAAACCGTATTCCCGGAATACATTTTATAACCTAAAAAAATAAAATGGTAGAGGCTCCCAGAGGAGGACTCGAACCCGGGCCAATGGGCAAGTCCGGTTTCTCTGGGCGCACATCGTACCATTGCGCCGGCAGACACTTTCCGATACTTTTTGTACAAAATATATACATATTCATACTAGTATTATATTATAATATGATATAATATATATCATATAATATAATACATAATATAATATAACTATATATTAATAAATTAATAATATACCATACTATAATATAACAATATATATATATACCATACTATAATATAATATATAATATAACTATATATTAATATACCATACTATAATATAACTATATATTAATATACTATACTAAACCCTAAACCCTAAACCCTAAATATGTACGAATTCGAATTCAATTGTACGAAATTGACTTCAACTGTATTGATTTGACTTCAATTGTACGAAATTGACTTCAATTGTACTAATTTGACTTCAATTGTACTAATTTGACTTCAATTGTACGAATTTGACTTCAATTGTACGACGTTGCTTTGCAGTTGGACAGTTACTTGCGCAACGTGAAAATTCCGGCTACCAATTTCATACTCAAGTCTTCTATAATTGGACACCTGATTATCCTGCTGAAGAATTTGGCTAGGTTGGTAGAAACCTCTTCCGAGGGTTGGATCCGTATCAAAAAATGGTTCATTCAATTGTACTAATTTGACTTCAATTGTACTAATTTGACTTCAATTGTACTAATTTGACTTCAATTGTACGAAATTGACTTCAATTGTACGAAATTGACTTCAAATGTACGAATTTGACTTCAATTGTACTGATTTGACTTCAATTGTACTAATTTGACTTCAATTGTACGAAATTTGACTTCAATTGTACGAAATTAACTTCAATTGTACGAAATTGACTTCAATTATACTGATTTGACTTCAATTGTACTAATTTGACTTCAATTGTACTAATTTGACTTCAATTATACGAAATTGACTTCAATTGTACGAAATTGACTTCAATTGTACGAAGTTGCTTTGCAGTTGGACAGTTACTTGCGCAGCGTGAAAATTCCGGCTACCAATTTCATACTCAAGTCTTCTAGAATTGGACAACTGATTATATTGCTGAAGAATTTGGCTTGGTTGGTAGAAACCTCTTCCGAGGGTTGGATCCGTATCAGAAAATGGTTCATTCAATATCCAAAATGATAGCTACCAATTCGACTTCAATTGTACTGATTTGACTTCAATTGCACTAATTTGACTTCAATTGTACTAATTTGACTTCAATTGCACTAATTTGACTTCAATTGTACTAATTTGACTTCAATTATACGAAATTGACTTCAATTGTACGAAATTGACTTCAATTGTACGAAGTTGCTTTGCAGTTAGACAGTTACTTGGGCAGCGTGAAAATTCCGGCTACCAATTTCATACTCAAGTCTTCTAGAATTGGACAGCTGATTATACTGCTGAAGAATTTGGCTTGGTTGGTAGAAACCTCTTCCGAGGATTGGATCCGTATCAGAAAATGGTTCATTCAATATCAAAAATGATAGCTACCAATTCGACTTCAATTGTACTGATTTGACTTCAATTGCACTAATTTGACTTCAATTGTACTAATTTGACTTCAATTGTACTAATTTGACTTCAATTATACGAAATTGACTTCAATTGTACGAAATTGACTTCAATTGTACGAAGTTGCTTTGCAGTTGGACAGTTACTTGCGCAGCGTGAAAATTCCGGCTACCAATTTCATACTCAAGTCTTTTAGAATTGGACAGCTGATTATACTGCTGAAGAATTTGGCTTGGTTGGTATAAACCTCTTCCGAGGGTTGGATCCGTATCAGAAAATGGTTCATTCAATATCCAAAATGATAGCTACCAATTCGACTTCAATTGTACTGATTTGACTTCAATTGCACTAATTTGACTTCAATTATACTAATTTGACTTCAATTGCACTAATTTGACTTCAATTATACGAAATTGACTTCAATTGTACGAAATTGACTTCAATTGTACGAAGTTGCTTTGCAGTTGGACAGTTACTTGCGCAGCGTGAAAATTCCGGCTACCAATTTCATACTCAAGTCTTCTAGAATTGGACAACTGATTATACTGCTGAAGAATTTGGCTTGGTTGGTAGAAACCTCTTCCGAGGGTTGGATCCGTATCAAAAAATGGTTCATTCAATATCCAAAATGATAGCTACCAATTCGACTTCAATTGTACTGATTTGACTTCAATTGCACTAATTTGACTTCAATTGTACTAATTCGAGTCGTGTAAAAAATGCAGAAAACATTTTTTTTTGCTAGTTTAAAACGTATTCTGAAAATACGTTTTAGTCGCTAAAATGTATTCCTAGAATACGTTTTAAACTGGGAAAAAAAACTTGCTGCAT